CGTTTTTAGGATTTTTTAGCGATTTGAAATCAATTCTGATATACTTTGTCATTAGTATTGTCTTGGTGTATTTTTTTTTTGCCTCACTCGAATGACGTGCATTTCATTTTTACGCCACACAGCAAGGTATTTCAAAGAAATGAGCCTCGCTCTACTCCAATTGACTACAAACTAGACCCACCTGGAAGATTTGATGCGGAGCACTAATTATTTGTTTAGTTAGCATTTAGTTTCTGTGAGCATGAACTTTTATGTGAATATGAAACAGATGTGAAATGTAGCAGAGCATTACTTAACTATATAGCAAAAAATATATTTTTTTTAAGTACACGACAGGCGTATTTTTTAGTTTCAGGGATTTTAAGCGATTTGAAACAATCCTGATATATTATAGCGGAGCATCTAGTTATCTGTTTAGTTTTCGATCATAAAATTGTATAACATAATAACCTTTAGCATGTTTTTTACATGTTCCAGGTGCAGAAGCAGTTGGCTTACCACAAGCCTTACATAAAACACGTTTTTTTGCTCTCCAATGTTCGTGGCACCCTTCAGGACGTCGACATCCAGTCCACAGACTTCTCCAGAGTTGTGTATATATTCACATGTATATTCACCTTGCATTTCGATAAATTTATATAACTGAATTAATTATTTTAATTTAAACAAAAGATCTGGTTATATTAATAAAAAACACGGAACACAAAGATACAGTGCTCCGCAGAAGTATCTGACCCCCCTAACTTTTCATAGATCATGTATAAAGTACCGAACACAAAGAACATTACAAATGCTGATCATAATACCTTTTATAGTATGTTCATAAATTTTCACGTCCCAAATATAATCAGTTATTTCATAACATATATCTCGATATTCAATAATCTAATTTTTGACGTCCAGTGACCCGATTTGAACAAAAATATGTCCATTTGATTCTTCTTGACTAGACGAATCAAATGGACATATTTTTGTTCAAATCGGGTCACTGGACGTCGATCTTAAAGTAGCAAATTCATTTTTTTTGACACTAACCAAAAATGAATCGTTCACTTTTATCTCGATGTCTAGTGGTCCAATTTGAGTGAAAATACCACCATTCGATTTGTCCAGATTAGGCAAATTGTATTATTTCTCACTCAAATTGGATTGAGATATTATGTCCTAATGTGACCGATTTACTGTATTTGGGCATGAACATACAATACCGATAATAGAATCTATAAAAGGTATCATTTGTGCTCGGAAAAATTTGGTGCATTACACATGATCTATGGAAAGTTACTTTTGCGGTTGACTATACATAAAAATGGTAGGTAAATGTCCAGGTTGTGACTTCACTCCAAGAACTCGTGATTAGGATAAGCATATGGATTTAACACGATCCAGGCTCTCTTACAACTAACACGAGCGCAAAATGCACCTCAAACAGAAAACATCCCACCACCAGCTCCGGAGGGTGATCTCATATCATTCGATGAAAATCCACCGACGCACCAGCCGAGTGAGGCAAGTGTGCCGGCAGATGACCCCGGAATAGGAGAATTCGATGCTCTGCATCATCTAGTTCAGCTAATAAAATTATAAAAATATAGCGAGTTTTATGATGGAAAAAGAAAATGGTATGGTGTAAAAGATGATTTTCATGCATTATACAATATTACAGATATCATTTTATTAAAACTGATAATAACGAAACAATTATAGGAGCATACACAAGAATTAATGATGAGTCAGAGGTTATTGCTAAAAAAAACTAGAGGAAAAATTGATATGCGTAAATCTGGAAATTAACCAGTATAAAACTTTTTAAAGAAACTAGTCTAGCCCCACTAAAAAGTGAAAAAATAAGTGAACAAGAGAATACATGGATAAATTTAGCAACAACTGGTGCTCTAGTATTTACAGAAAAATATGATGGAGAAGCTAATCAATATGATGTAAATTCGATGTATGTATATGAAATGATAAAGTACGAAGCATCACAGGTAAGTTTCATACTATAAATCCATCATTAGCTGAAAGTTGGTAAAGCAACAATCGAAGGAAGCCCCCCTAAAAAAAATTTTACATGTACGCGATATTTACGATATAATTCACAAGGAATTTATACACATTATGATTTAGAATGTGCTAAGGAAAATGGTTTAAAAGTATATTTAATGAATGAATCATCAAATGCACCTATATATGA